ACTCAGAAAGAAAGGGATAGACATAGAAAGATTGCATTCATCTGGGGAACATAAAGTAACAAAATAGGAAACTAATACCCATGAATAGCTGAGATTAGTACCAGGAGGTTTACTTCATGGCTTGGAGGCCAGCCACACATGCTAGGGGAAAAGGGAGCTCAGATAGAGAAGGGAGCACCAAATAAAGGGTGTTGGGAGGATCCTCCAAGGATGGGAGAAGCATGCTGAAAGTAGACTACAGACCAAACATGATTGTCACCCATTGCCTCTTTTGCAAACCACAACACCCAATAAGAGAGAGAGAACCAAAGGGAATGCCCTGCCACAGAGGCAGGGTGGGATGGGAGGATGGGGGGTGGGAGAGACACTGGGACCCGTGGTGGTGGGAAATGGGCACTGGTGGAGGGATGGGTACTTGATCATTGTATAACTGAAACCCAAGCACAAAAATTTGTAAGTCTACAACTGTACCTCACGGTGTTTCACTAGTAAAAATTAAAAAAAAAAAAGGTGTATACACGCATAGAGGATGATGTGAAGAGGGAGGAAAAGGTAGATGAGATGGCTGAAGAGGGGAGCAAGGAGGTTAAAGGTCCTCCATAAGCAGCAAGACGACATCCCCCAGTCTCCCAAGGCAGAGGCGGCCCCCAGCACTCCTTGCCTTTGAACTCCAGTCAGACAGACTGTGGGAAAATTAGTCCCTGTTATTCAAACCTCACACTTTATAAGGCTTTGATATAACAATCACAAGAAACTGACACTTACTCCTGCCTACTGTCCTCCCCACCCCCACCCATGACCAAGCAATTACGTTCAAGAATATATTAGACAGCCTATCACTTTATCTATCAAAAATGCCACGCATTTTTGTGGGCTGGAGAGATAGAACAGAGAGCGAGATGCTTGCCAGGCATGTCACTAACCAGGACTCAATCCCCAGTGCCCCATACGGTCCCTCGAGACTAGCCAGGGGTGATCCCTAAGCACAGAGCCAGGACTAAGCCCTCAGAACTGCCTGTTGTGACCCCCAAACAAAACAAACAACAACAACGAGTATGTTGATGTCAAGAAGGCCAGAACCTTTTTTTTTTTTCTTTCTGGGTCACGCCCGGCGATGCACAGGGGTTATTCCTGGCTCATGCACTCAGGAATCACTCCTGGCGGTGCTTGGGGACCATATGGGATGTTGGGAATCGAACCTGGATTGGCCGCGTGCAAGGCAAATGCCCTACCTGCTGTGCTATTGCTCCAGCCCAAGTTCTTTCTAGTCTTCATGGAGAACATGGCACCTACAATGAAAATATCTTCCTGCTACTTCTTCCTTAAATATTTGCAAGACTGATTATTTTTTTCCCTTGCTTTTTGGGTCACACCTGGCGATGCACAGGGGTTCCTCCTGGCTCTGCACTCAGGAATTACTCCTGGTGGTGCTTAAGGGACCATATGGGATGCTGGGAATCGAACCCAGGTTGGCCGCATGCAAGGCAAACGCCCTACCCGCTGTGCTATCGCTCCAGCCCCAGGCCAGAACCTTTTTTATGGAGATCATGGCCCCTTTTTCTGCCGTTACACGACAGTTCATACTTGGGCAGCTCCCTGAACTTTTGCAGCATTTTTCTCGCTCCTTGGTCGGAGAATTTCTTTGCAGTGCTTTGAGGCAAGCATGCTGTCTTAGAGCACTGTGAGTCAGCAGATTTGGGAGAAATGAAGCTTGAAGCTTGAACCCAGAGGTCAGGCAGGTGGGGGCGCCAGAGCTGCTGGGAGGAAACTCACAGCGCGGGCCTCTGCCCTTAGATCGCCAAGGGTACCCGGCGCTGTGCTCAGGGCTTCTGGCCACTCGCAGCTGGCTTGGGGTGCTGAGGTCTTGTCCTCATCCCGGGAGGGGGCTGGTGAGGGAGAGGGGTGACACAGAGGCTACAAATGTATATGACTGTTACTTATTTAGTGTGTGTCAACAACCTTCACATACTTCCCTCTTATTGTTGTGGGAAGATGCTCACTGGTTGGGTGGGTGTTTGAGTATTATCTGTAATGAACTATTGTGACCTCTATTGTCCCTCCCCCCCCCAAAGCCTCCGTCCCTCTCCGAGAGCCCCGCAAGCTACCGAGAGTATCCCGCCCACATGGCAGAGCCTGGCAAGCTCCCCGTGGCATATTCAATATGCCAAAAACAGTAACAATAATGGGTCTCATTCCCCTGACCCCGAAAGAGCCTCCAGTATGCCATCGGGCTACACTAGCATGCAACAGGGATGAATGGAGATGTTACTGGTGCCCGCTCGAGCAACTCGATGAACAATGGGACGACAAGTGATACAAGTGATTAGATAGTAGTATTAGTACTAGAAGTTCTGAGTATTATTTTATTGTGAAAATATTTATATTACATATAGATATACGGGCTGGAGTGATAGCACAGTGGGTAAGGCATTTGCCTTGCACGTGGTCGACCCAGGTTCGATTCCTCTGTCCCTCTCAAAAAGCCCAGCAAGCTACTGAGAGTATCCCGCCCACACAGCTGAGCCTGGCAAGTTCCCCGTGACGTATTCGAGATGCCAAAAACAGTAACAATAACGGGTCTCATTCCCCTGACCCTGAAGGAACCTCCAATACGGCAGCGTTGGGAAGGATGAGTAAGGAGAGGCTACTAAAATCTCAGGACTGGAACGAATGGAGAAGCTACTGACGCCCACTTGATCAAATCAATGAACAACAGGACAACGGCGATATAGTAAGACAGTTATTTGGGTGAGTTTGGGGTCATCTGTGGCAGTTCTTCGGGCTTAATTTTGACTCTGCTCAGTCACTCCAGACAGTGCTTGGGGAACCGTGAACAGTGCTTCCGATCAAACCAGGGTCAGCAACGTGCAAATGAAGTGCTTCACCCACTGAATTTCTCCCTCCAGCCTGAGTCAGAGAGAACTCAGTCTCCCTGGCTGGCAACCTCTACAGGAACTGAGTGAGGCTCAGTGGCCTGCAAATGCACCCAGGCAGGAGGGCAGAGGCCCTGAGGGTCTCAGGGGTGTGGGGGGAGCATCCTTGCAGGCAAAACAGTCCCCAGAGGAATGGAAGAAATGCAGGGATAACCAACTTGCCGGGCTGGAGTGATAGCACAGCGGTAGGGCGTTTGCCTTGTGCACAGCCAGCCCGGCCGAGCCGGGTTCGATTCCTCAACCCCTCTCTGAAAGCCCGGCAAGCTACCAAGAGTATCTCGCCCACACGGCAGAGCCTGGCAAGCTACCCGTGACGTATTAAATATGCCAAACACAATAACAACAAGTCTCAAAATGGAGACGCTACTGGGCCCGCTCGAGCAAATCGACGATCAACGGGAGGACAGTATAACCAACTTGCCATTTCTGGACAATCACTGCTTAGGTGAGAGCAAAGTGAAGCTGGCTCGGCTCCCGTCCACCCCCCAAGCCGAGGGGATTCAACCCAGGAGGAGAGAACCAATGTGACAGAATCTGGAGGCCAGGGGAGTGTGCTGAGTGCTGGCCTAGTATTAGCTGAAGCTAGACGTCACTCCCAATCCAGGCCCTCGGAACAATGACCTCCTACATGGGACAGCTGCACAGTGGGTGGGATGCTTGCCTTATGGATGGCTTCTGTTGTATCATTTCTATATCATCCAGGCGCAGAGTCTGTATGTGAATGGCCAGGCTGAGGGACACTCAGTGAAGTTGTTGGGGGTGGGGTGGGCGGGCAGACTCCTGACCCGGAAGGCCCCACCCAGACCCCCCTTTCCCGTAACAGGAAGCTGCAGAGGGATAATGAGCAGGAGGGTCCCAGCTGGGGGACAGCAGGATCACCTAGAGCCCAGCTGGCTCTGTTTGTTCTCATTATTCCCACTTCCTGCAACTCCAACAAGGAAAACAGACATAACAACTGGAGGAAAGCCTGCGTGTCTTTGAAAATGACTCTCAGACAGAAAGAGAGGGACAGACATGGAAAGATTGCACTCATCTGGGGAACATAAAGTAACAAAATGGGAGACTAACACCCAAGAATAGCCGAGATAAGTACCAGGAGGATTACTCCATGGCCTGGAGGCCAGCCACACACGCTAGGGGAAAGGGCAGCACAGCTAGAGAAGGGAGCACCAAATAAAGGGTGTTGGGAGGATCCTCCCAGGATGGGAGATGCATGCTGAGAGTAGACTATAGACCAAACATGATTGTCACCCATTGCCTCTTTTGCAAAACACAGCACCCACAAGAAGAGAGAGAACAAAAGGGAATGCCCTGCCACAGAGGCAGGGTGGGATGGGGCGCTGGGGGGCTGGGAGGGATACTGGGATCATTGGTGGTGGAGAATGGGCACTGGCGGAGGGATGGGTACTTGATCCTTGTATAACTGAAACCCAAGCACAACAATTTGTAAGTCTACAACTGTACCTCATGGTGTTTCATGGTGTTTCACTAATAGAAAAAATAATTTAAAAAAATGACTTTCAGAAAAGAAACTAGAGCAAGGCTCTGCCTCAATAAGGCAGCTACAGGCTCCCGGGAACCCCAAGTGACAGCAGGAACTTCCAACCTTGACTTCCTGATAAGCTCCAGGACAGAAGTTACGGAGACAGTCCTGAAGACAAATCAAAGAGACAACAAGGCTATATCCCCCCTTTTAGGTCACTTTCATTCCATGGAAGGGACAAGTCCTGCGCTGTAGCACCGCCCTCCCGTTGTTCATTGATTTGCTCGAGCGGGCACCAGTAACGTCTCCATTGTGAGACTTGTTACTGTTTTTGACATATCAAATGCGTCACAGGGAGCTTGCCAGGTTCTGCTGTGTGGGCGGAGTACCAAGCTACTCTTGGTAGCTTGCGGGGTTCTCCGAGAGGGATGCAAGACTCGAACCCAGCTCGGCCTCGTGCAAGGCAAATGCCCTCCCCACTGTGCTATCACTCCAGCCAAAGGGACAAGAGAGAAAGGAATTGGAAACATGATTTCATATTGAATCCAGGAAAAAGTGAAAAAAAAAAAAAAGAGGAATGCTGCTCAGAGGAATGTCATTCTTTAATGGACATGAAGACATTGACCTCGTTTAAGGGTCTCGTAACAAACAAACTTGACATTCAGGCGAAGGCAGTGCTAGAAAACTTGGGGTGATGACAGGCGGAATTTTGCTTTATTTAATACCGAAAATCTTCTTCGCTTCCTCTAGTTGCGCCTCGGTAATGGGAGGCTTCCTCTGGCTCCCTGGCTGCAGAAACTTCTTCACATTTGGGAGGCTGCTGATCCTGCTTTTCAGGGCCTGCAATGCACAAGGACAGGTTGAGAGAGTGGACAGGGGCTCAGTGACACACACACACACACACACACACACACACACACACACACGCAGAGTGAGAAAGCAGAGAAGAGGAAGGAAATGGCATCCAATGCCATTTCCCCTTAAAAGACAAGTTTGTGGCTGACTTTAGTCAGCTCCCATCTTCCCTGTTACACAGGATTACACAAAAATTCTGCAGATTCTCACCACCACGAATCCCAGTATCCCTCCCACCCCCCATCCCACCCTGCCTCTGTTGCAGAAATTTCCCTTTTGTTCTCTCTCTCCTTTTGGGTGTTGTGGTTTGCAAAAGAGGCATTGAGTGGCAGTCATGTTTGGTCTATAGTCTACTTTCAGCATGCTTCTCCCATCCTGGGAGGATCCTCCCAACACCCTTTACTTGGTGCTCCCTTCTCTATCTGAGCTGCCCTTTCCCCTACCATGCCTGGCTGGCCTCTAAGCCATGGGCACTGGTGGAAGGATGGGTATTTGATCATTGTATAATTGAAACCCAAGCACAAAAATTTGTACAACTGTACCTCATGGTGCCTCACTAATAAAAATTAAAGCATTTTAAAAAATGATAAAGGGAATGCCCTGCCACAGAGGCAGAGTGGGATGGGGGGGATGGGGGGTGGGAGGGATACTGGGACCCGTGGTGTGGAAAATGGGCACTGGTGGAGGGATGGGTACTCGATCATTGTATAATTGAAACCCAAGCACAAAAATTTGTAAGTCTACAACTGTACATCATGGTGTTTCACTAATAAAAATTTAATAAAAAAATAAAAAATAAAAAAAATTCTGCAGATTCATCATCTTGTGCAACACAAGGACCAGTGATGCCTCTGTTGCCTCTCGCCTCTCGAAGAAGTGAAAAATGATGATGCAGAAACTCCAGACTGCAACCAAGATTTTAAAAAAAATCAAAGAAAACCTGAAGGTCCGTGGGGGGTATTTGTCCCGGAATGGCCCCCGGGAGCAGAGAATGCCCCTGCCCAGGGAGAACAGGCCTTGGGGCCGGCAAGACACGCTTCCACCCAGGAAATGAATCCGAAGGGAGGAAGGCCCCATGGGGAAGAGACCGGCAGAGGCCTGTACCCCCGGCCTCTAGGGCAACTGCCACCCCAAACTTCTTCAGCAGAACGAGATGGTTTTCCAGCTTGGGACCGGAGTCAGGAGCAAGCTCTGGAGTGCTACAGGAGGCAGTGGCCCAGAAGGAAGCAGGGTCAGATGCCAGCAGTGCACTGTGTCATGCTGTGGGGTTTGGAGCACCCTGGGGGGGGGGGGTGGGCAGAGGCACCTTCAGCAGAGGGAAGTTGTTCAGGAGGCTGGGCTCCAACTCCTCCACGTAGTACAGCAGCTCCACCAGGTGGATGTCCAGCTTGCTCAGGGCATTGCCCACCATGTACTCTTGGCCGTGGCTCTTCAGCACCTGGGGAGGGCGAAGGGTCAGGCCGTGAGCTGCCACCGACAGACAGACTGGGCCTGGCTCCCACGGTCTGTCCCGCCTGACTCCAGCCTCAGCCCTGGCCCCCTGAGACCCCAACCCTGGAGGCTTTGCCCTTAGCGGAAGCCCAGCCCCCACCCCATCCCCTGCCTGCCCCCTGCCCAGGACTGGGGAGCCCGCACTGGTGTGGCCCCAAGCTCATGGCCTGGACGTTGCAGGGCTGGGTGCCCACAACAGCCTTGGCAGCTGGATATGGAGGGACAGGGCTCTCCTCTCTGCTGCCTCTACCTCTATGATGTCTCTCCTTCTCTCTGCTGTCTCTCCTTCTCTCTTCTGTCTCTCTTTGCTGTCTCTCCAGTCCCGAGAGGACTGTTCAGAGTCTCCATTTCTCCTCTCTCTTTCTCTCTCTTTCTCTCTCTCCTCTTTCTTCTCTTTCTTTTTCTCCCTCTCTTCTTACTCTCCTCTCTCTCCTCTCCTCTGTTTATCTCCTTTCTCTACCCCTTCTCTCTCCACTCACTGTTTCCCCCACTCACTCACTCACTCACTCACTCACTCACTCACTCACTCACTCACTCCTTCTTTCCCTCTCCCTCTCTTTGTCTCTCTGAAGAACTTGCAACAACTCCGACTCATCTCCCTGGGACCTGGGCACTTTGTCCTAACTGCCACCAGCAGCTGCTTCGCCTCGAGCTGGGCCCGATGTGCCGTTCTTGGTGGACCCTGTCTCAGCAGCCCACTCACCTTCTCAAAAGCAGGCAAGTAACGATTTGTTGCTTTATCTTTGATCACGGCGATCTTGGCAGATTTTTCGGCAGGTGGGCATATTGACAGAGTCAAAATCAATTCACCCAGGTCAAACACACCTTCTGCGTACATATCAATCCTGAAAGACAGACAAAGACCAAATCGTCCAATATCACCTGCCCCAGATTTATAACAACAAAAAATAAGAGAACACCAGCTCCCTGGTGGTGACAAAACAATTTCCCCTTCATGGGGTGCTTTATAAAATTGATTTATTGGATGGAGGGATGCCCTCCGGGCAATCCTTGGGTGCAAACAGCCTTCCCCAGTTACCCCAGGCCTGGCCACACGGGCCCAGCAGTTCAATACTCAGGTCAGGCATTCAGGTATGGTTTTTAATGGTTTTAACACTTATTTCTAGAATGAGCTATTGGGGTAAATATATGTCTAAAATGTTGTGACCTCTGACCCAATAAAGTGACGGGAGTCGCGGGTGTCTCTCAGCAGTAGGGGAGACCCTGGGTTTGATCCCTGCTATCACATAAGCAGGGAAGGACAAGGTTGTATTTGAGATGTGCAGTGACAGCCCAAGTCTCTGCTGATAACCTATTGAGGCTCACCCTCTCTCCCGGGGCTTGTTTTGTGCACACAGTGTGATGGCCATGGACAAAGTCCCGTCCCTTGTATCATTGACAAACACAGCCTCTGCACAGTGATCTCTGACCTGATCCCCTCTTTCTCTCAGCCTGTTCTATCAGGCCCTATATAGGCGATTCCTCAATTATTCCCCATAGATCACACAAATGCCTACAAATACGGCTGCCAATGCTGAGTGTGTACGCATTTTAAGTCTTCATGTAGAATAATCTCTGAAATAGTATCCTCTTAATTCCTTTCTAACTGGCATCTATTACAGATTATTATTATTATTATTATAGGTTATTGTTTCAAATGGATTGGAGCGATAGCATAACGGGTAGGGCGTTTGCCTTGCACACGGCTGACCCAGGTTCCATTCCTCTGTCCCTCTCGGAAAGCCCAGCAAGCTACCAAGAATATCCCACCCACACGGCAGAGCCTGGCAAGCTCCCATGGCATATTCGATATGCCAAAAACAGTAGCAAGTCTCACACTGGAGACATTACTGGTGCCCGCTCGGGCAACTCGATGAACAGCGGGAGGACAGTGAAGTACTATTGTTTCAAACAGTTTAGAAAATTTACAAGCTGTATTTTTAAATATTTAAATAAAAGCTGTATTGCTAATCCCATTAGCAAGTTTTTAAAGTTCCCCATCTTGATTTCATTCTTTCGAAGTAATTGATTCTGTGATAGTTAAGTAACAATTCTATGTCATCACCATAAACTCTCCCGGGACATTTTCATCACAGTCCCCTGAACTGCTGGTGGATTAGCTCGCAAGCATTCCACAGTCTCCCTCCCGCTAGTCCCGGGCCACCACTAAATGACCCCATTTCTGTAGAACTAAAATGTTGGACATTTGACACCAATATACAATGTGTAATACTTTTTGAAAGCATACACAGCATCCAAAGAGACAATTAAGGGGCCATGGTGCGTGCCTTGCATTCAGCTAAACCCAATCCAATCCCCAGTATTGCAAATAGTCCCCCCAATATCACTACCAAGAGTGATCCCTGAGCACAAAGCCAGGAGTAGACTCTGAGTAATGCTGGGTGTGGGCCAAAATCAAACAAAAGCATACTTCAAAACTCCATACTTCAGTATTCATCCATTTTAACTGGCAAATAATATTCCAATTTATGGATAAGTATCAGTTGATTGACATTTGTGTTGCTTCATCTTCTCAATATTGTTGCTATGTTTTTCAATTTCTTGGGTTTACGCCTTATAAACATCTTATAAAAACTATAAAGCGGAAATACTGAGTCATTGGTAGCTTTGTGATTAGTATTGTGAGTGAATATACATATTCCATAAGGAATTAAAATGATTTCTATTTCGATCGTGCGGTAGGGTCCATCTCCGCAGAAAAGAGTCCCAGATACCGTTTCATCCACTCAATCTGAGTGCTTAGTTCTGGGAAGCAATGCTCAAGTTAATTCAGAAATTCAGCCTCTGCTAACCCTTCTCAAGTACCCAGCCCATATCACTTGGTAGTAAATTAGGATCCTGGTCATCAATCTTGCAATCCTGGAAACTTGAAAATGACCTCCTTTGTCTTTTCATTTCTCCAGCCTTATCGTTTGGACGCACAACATTGCTTCCTAGTTCCTAAAGCTTTGGGTGTCTGGAGTCCTGATCCACCATCCTCCTGGCTTTAGAGTTTGCCCATTATTAAAATCTGTGCCGTTGTTTTATCCATGCACTGTGCCCGCTTATATAGGACGTACTTAGACCAATCCCTCATTTTCATTGCTCCTTGCTCTGTCGGCTCTCAGTCTACACTACCAAAACCTGCTGTTTGACTTTTCTGTTGATCATGATTCCCTGCTGTGGGCCTGTTCAGAGAGGACTTAAGTCATCCCTATTGGTTGCTAGTACAATCAGACTAGACATGTACGTCAGAGGCAGAGCAACACACACACACACACACACACACCCCAAAACAAACAAAAATACTGTACAGGGCTTTCTCCTTTATGTCTTTCCCATAGAGGTTGTATTTGTTGGCGATGTAGTTGACAATGGCTCTGGTCTGTACCAACTTCATTCCATCAATTTCAACCATTGGCACTTGCTCGAATACCAGACTCCCATCTTTGGAAAGAAGAGAAGAAAAATGAATTAAGTGTTATGGCTCTTTTACCTTGAAAAAATAGGTGTTTTGTTTTTACTATAAAAGGAATCAAAGATATAGTACCTAAATCTGTTACCATGCGAATAGTCCTCTTTTTTTTTTTTAGCTATAGTTAGTATTTTACTTATCAATCTGACTTTTACTTTTCCAGCTGGTATTTTGTTTTTCCTCTTTATTTCCCATAGCTTGCAAGTCCCTGCGCTGTTTTGTGCTTCACTTCTCTTCAAGGATATTTTAGAAAACAGATACAAGAAGCTGCCCAGGAGCCGTCATGGGTAGAGACCATTTCTATCAGGAAGTCCCTAAAGTCAGTCTCACGAGACTCACGGCATTAAGGCCAATTCTACAAGAAGTTTCAAAGTGGGTGTTTTGAGGACTTTTCAAATCCCACCACTGTTTTGGGGACTTTTCAAATCCCACCACTGGCTCCTGAGTGCAGGACCAGCCCCGATTTCCTGATTCCAAGCTGCTGGTGGGGGCTGGAGTGATAGCACAGCGGGTAGGGCGTTTGCCTTACATGCAGCCAACATGGCCCACCAGAGTTCGATTCCTCTGCCCCTCTCGGAGAGCCCAGCAAGCTACAGAGAGTATCTCGCCCACACGGGCCCGCAAGGCAGAGCCTGGCAAGCTACCCGTGGCGTATTCGATATACCAAACACAGTAACAACAAAGTCTCAAAATGGAGACGTTACTGGGTCCACTCGAGAAAATCGATGAACAACGGGAGGACAGTGACAGTGACAGTGACGGCTGCTGGTCACAGTTTCAGCAAATCTTCCACCAAAGTAATCACCTCATTATACCCGTCTACAATATTCCTCAGATCCTACTTTGTCGATCCCATAAGAGAAAAGAGATCAGGGCAAGAGCTGGGTCTCTTTCTGCTCTGCTCTTTTCTCTATGTGTGAGCTGGGGGGGCTGTGTGAGATCCTCACTCTCAAGGCGGAAGAGCAGGAAGAAGCAGAGAGGAATTCCGCAGGAATCAGGATGCCCTGGAGCAAATACCCCAAGACCTCTGTCCCCTCCTGGTCTTTGGTGATCTGCTCCCAGAGGCCCACCCTAGTCATCCACCAACCCCATCTCCCTCCACAACGCTCCAGGCAAAGCTGGATATTAAAAGCATCAACTGACTTCTATTAGATACTCTCCTTGGGGGAATTTCGATAGTTGGTCTTATACTTGGTCTTACCAGTTTTTAACTTCTGCAAGTCTCCTGGGTTTTCGATAAACTTCTCGTCAAACTGAAAAGCAGAAACAGTAAACGAGTTCTTGTTATTTTATGTCATCGCGTTATGGAACACTTAAACTCGAATGGCTCCTGTTTGGTCTCTGATGTGGAAGAGACTATGTTTGAGTTTGGTAGGGTACACAGAAGAATGTCATCATGGCTATTTAGAAAATTAGGTTAAACACATTAAGAGAAAATGACTGCAGCAAGTAACTCTTTTTTTACAGGTTGATATCATTTCACCTTCATCCATTTCCATCTCTCGAATTGGATGTCTTATTTTTTTTTGATGTTTTAGGGCATATTAGAGGGAAGGAACTGGAAGTTTCTTAGCTCTCCACAAAAAATCATGCCAGGACATCGTGTATCCAGAATACCACGGGAGCACTGACTTGCTAAGGTACTGCTCCCCAGAGAGAGGTGACCATTGTCATTTATATCATTCCATCCCATGGGAACCCCACTAAGCATGACACTATTGGGTGCTAGTAGTTTCAGAGACTGCATTTTTTTTTTTTAATCAGAATTTTCTTGGAACTGGAGCGATAGTACGGCAAGTAAGGAGCTTGCCTTGCACTCAGCCCACCCAGGTTGAATCTGTGGCATCCCAGATGGTCGTCGGAGTATCATCACAGGAGTAATTCCTGAGTGCAGAGCCAGGAACAACTCCTGAGCGTCACTGGGGGTGGAGCCCCAAACAAACAAAAAAAGTCAAAAACAAGGGGCAACCGATGTTAGACTCTCAATTTCAGAAAGGAAAAGACAAAATAAAGATGAGTACAAGGAATTTTACTCAACGACCCGGAGGACAACCACACATGTTAGGGGAAAAGGGAGCTCAGACGGAGAAGGGAGCACCAAATAAAGGGTGTTGGGAGGATCCTCCCAGGATGGGAGAAGCATGCTGAAAGTAGACTATAGACCGAACATGATTGCCACTCAATGCCTCTTTTGCAAACCACAGCACTCAAAAGGAGAACAGAGGGGAATGCCCTGCCACAGAGACAGAGTGGGATGGGGGGGATGGGGGATGGGAGGGATACTGGGATCCGTGGTGGTGGGAAATGGGCACTGGTGGAGGGATGGGTATTTGATCATTGTATAATTGAAACCCAAGCACAAAAATGTGTAATTCTGCAACTGTACCTCATGATGTCTCACTATTTTAAAAAAATTAATTAATTAATTAAAAAAATAACAAGTAAAAAAAAAGACAAAATAATTGTTTCACCCTTTTTGGACGAATAATTATGATTTAGCTCAGAATTTGACATCCTCTTTTCCATGCAATGTCTTCTTGCCCTGGAGACAACTACTGCATGTTCTCTCTACAATGGCACTACTGTGAGTCCTCATGTGAAAAATGTATATAGATAGTACAGTGAACAAGGTCCTTGCTTTGCATGTGACCAACCCTGGTTCAATCTCTAGCACTACATGATTCCCTGAGCACTGAGAGGAATAACCCCTGAGTATAGTCAGATGTGGCCCATATACCCTGAAATAGTAATAAATAAATTTAAAAAATTAAAAATGGGTAACATTCATGCCTCTAGTTGTACATTGTGTGAGGCTGAAGTGGAGTCATGACAGGTTCCACCTTAAGACCAAAACTCAGCAGGCCTAAGTTCCAGTTTCCCCTATCAGAAGTTCCCGACCTCTCAGAAAACAATATCACCCTGGGCAGATAAACTGCCCCGTAGCAACAGCCTATCGGAGTAGGGGTCACAGGCAGTGGTGCCCAGCCAAGTAGAGAGGGCCTAGGGAGTGAAGTCACAGGACCGGACAGGGACCAAGAATTGGAAACATAATGTTGGTCTCTGAAGTCACAGAACTGGACAGGAACCAAGAACTGTAAACATAATGCTGGTCCCTGAAGTCACAGGACCGGACAGAGACCAGAATTGGAAACACACTGCCAGTTCCTAGGAAAAAATGCTGTTATGTAACCAAACCCAATATAAACTGTTTAGAATTCGGACTCAGGGTCCTCATCAAGACTCCACTGTGTTGGATGAGACTTGGACCTTAGCTCGAGCTAGCAATAAAGGGGCCTTGCGTTTGCAGCCTTGGGTCTGGTCTGGTCAATATATGAGCGAAACTCCCTTCCTGGGGCATAATAATTGTAGTAAAGATTAAATCACTCAGATATACAAGACCTATGAATAGTACCATATTACATTAACTACTCAAAAGTAAAAGGTGTTATTAAGATATTTTGAACATCCTGTATCATCATACCACCATTTAATTTTTGGAGCACTTTTTTCACTCTTAAAAAAATCTTTGTTTAAAAGGAAATGCCCTGCCACAGAGACAGGGTGGGTTGGGGAGGGTGGGGGGTGGGAGGGATACTGGGATCCGCGGTGGTGGGAAATGGTCGCTGGTGGAGGGATGGGTATAAAAAATAAATAAATAAATTATTTTTAAAAAATCTTTGTTTATCGATCTAATGGTTTATAGGATTGTACATATTTTAGGGGTACAATTTCACATCTCTTTAAAAAATATCAGTACACCCACTACAGAAGTCCCGATGTTGTTTTACTGTAGCTAGTCAGGATCCCTGTATTTCCCCTCTTCCCTGCCTCCATTAGCAGTTTCAGTTATGCACATTATACTAACCTTTTATGTTAATTTAAAGCAATCAAATGTAGGTGGAAATGTATGCTATCCAGTATCTGTATTAGCTGTTTTAAACCTTGGTGAATATTATGCCTTTCCCTGGAGCAAGACCCTTTGATCAGGTGACTGTCAATAGCAAGTTTATCTAAGTCAAAGTTGCAAGCGGTTGTGTGGTTTAGCATAAATCAGAAAATCAGTGATTACGTAATGATGTGGTTTACATAATAGGCAGAATCTACAAGAGACACTTATCAAGGAAATGGGTTCTGGTACTGACAACAGTTGGTTGCAGTTTGGCTCAGTTTCATAAAAGCTGTGTGATCTGGGCATAGTCAATTATCAACTTGAAGACTTTGTTTGCTCATCTTTAAAGCGAAAGCAGAAGGTGTTCTTAAGTAGAATAGTTTAGTATTTTAATGTACATACTACACGGTCTTTCCAAATAAACCAAGTAATGCATAGAAAGGGATTTTGCACTTAGGGGGTCAAAGGAGTGATTGATAATGAATATTTTGGGACTTTGGGGGCTTTTAATGTGCTAAGGTGAGACATAGCACTGTGGATCCATGATACCACAGAGTGAGACAACCAGATAGTGATGCTGGCCGTACAAATTTTTAAGTGTCTTCAGAACAAACATAAGGGTTATAGCCATCCTGGAGGGTGGATGAGGTGGGGTGGAGTAGGAGAACGTGATGTTGCTTGTGAGATGGGAATGGGAATGGATGGGACCATGAGTCTTAACCTTAGCACTGAGAGAACCCACGAGTCTCCATCTAGTTCCTCTGGCCAGTCATTGCTGATCCCTCTCTCCAGACACACTGCAGTGCAGAAGAATCTGGGATGCTCACCGCACTGCCAAACTTCCCTCTGGTGCTGAGTTCATGTTGCCCAGAGCCCCTAATGTGCTTAGGGCCAACACTGAAATCTGATTGCATAATCAGGTTGTTGGTTTTTGGAGAGATAGTAACCAAAGTGGCATGATGTGGATGTTTTTGGTGTACTTGTTGCGTCATAAAATTGAGAAAGCACCAGGTCAACATTGGTGGATCCCTGTTGCAATCAGGGTTATAATCCAAAATTATAAACCTGTGATTATGGCAATAAAGAGGGATGCTAGATGCTCTCTTCACAGGATACCAGTTCATCTGAACTCCTCTTCCACTGCTCTCTTCTGAGGGACAAACTCACTTGGCTTTCCCAGGAAAACCCTCAAATTGGTTCTGGGTCCACTGGGTCCACTGGAAAGTGTTTTTCTTTCCTCCACCAAGAGGACAGCTCTCAACAGAGACCTACAGAGAATCATGCTTTTGCATTGAGACTATGGCATCTTCACACAAAAACGTCTGCTGTGTCTTTCAGTTGCCTGCTCTCCTCTTTTTCAATCCCTACTTCCTTGTTGGCATCCTCATTCAAATATACATTGCCTGAGGATGACTACCTGTCTTCTTCATCCACATCTTCCTAAATTTCAGCACAGAACCTGCCACTTTAAGGAACTACAGGGTGAATACTCTCTAACTTAAATAGGCAGTTTGTGACAAGCTGTTTCTCCAATGCCTCTTGTTATGCCTCAACTCTAATTACATTTATTTTATAACATTTAGAAGGATAGCACAGCGGTAGGGCTTTTGCCTTGCACGTGGCCGACTTGGCCGACCTGGGTTCAATTCCTCTGCCCCTCTCGGAGAGCCGGGCAAGCTACCGAGAGTATCTTGCCCGCACGGCAAAGCCTGGCAAGCTCCCCATGGCATATTCGATATGCCAAAAACAGTAACAACAAGCCTCACAATGGAGACTTTACTGGACCCGCTCAAGCAAATCGATGAACAACAAGAGGACAGTGCTTATTTATTTCTATTTTTCTCTTTTTATGATGAAATATCATATTATTTATGATATAAATAAATATCTTATTTACATCTTATTATCTAGTTCTCACTCTGGAGAACCTGGCAGGCTACCAAAAGTATCCTGCCCACACAGCAAAGTCTGGCAAACTCCCCATGGCATGTTCAGTATGCCAAAAACTAGTAACAACGATGGGTCTCATTCTCCTCCTGACCCTGAAAGAGCCTCGAATGTGGCACTTCCTAAAATCTCAGGGATAGGATGAAGGAGATGTGACTGGTGCCTGCTCGAGGCAATCGATGACCAACAGGATGACAGTGATTATGAAATATCTAGGATGCATCACAATCCTCCTACCAATCACCCAAATTTTATAGCAATTTCTGATAAGTCAATCTTATACCATCTATAAACTCACCCACTTTTCCCCGCCTAATAGTTGGAGTAAACACCAAGTGGAGAGGAGGAGAAAACTAGAGAACTAGTCAAAGGGATTCAGGTACAACGGTGGTGTTAAAGAATGATCAGACTAAATATCCAAACCAGAGAGGAAGCAACACTAAAACTGTAACTGTGAGGCCCAAACTTCAAAAAGTGCCTTAAAAGGGTCAAGGTGGCAGGCTGGGTGTGTGTGTGGGAGGGGAGGAGGGCATAGGAGAGGGAACCTGGGAACACTAGTACAACGGTGAAAGGAAGTTGACACTGGTGGTGGAGTTGGCGCTGAAATATTGTATGTCTAAAACCCAGCTCTAATCTCAGGAGAGGGACAGGTCAAGTCTCTGCCCTGCTGAAGCCTCAGTGGCCACACTCACGCTCCAACAACTGCCACCATGCCTACGGCCCAGACGCCACCATCTCATGACTGAGCTCCACAGAGACACCAAGCCACTGAAAATTTTAGGTTCACCAGGATTTGGGGGCTGAAAACTCCCAGCATTCTTGGGATTGTGGTGGGCAATCTCTCTCCCCCTCCACCCTACCTCCCCACTACCTCATACTTCCGGGAGCCCCAGAAGTCACACCCACATTCCACTACACAACCATATAAGCTGACCTCCCAGTTAAATATTCTGGATTTTCTGGAGCTCAGACCATGAGACATCTCCAGACTCGACAATACCAACATCCTAGTAGTAGCAGACCAGATTGAATGGAAATGTTGAAGCCAACCAATGTTCACTAACAAAAACTTGAACATAGAAGACTCAACCAGCAACAGCATCTTAGTAAATCCTCAAACAAGGTCTTGCTGTTCTCATGGTGAGATACAACAATTTTCACAAATTTTCTTTTATTGAAGTATTTTTTTTATAATTCCATTAGACATTTAGTTTTGACAAGCAATATAAAATAAATTATTTAGGGCCTGCTGTGGAGGCAGGCTTGAGAGATGGTTGGGTAAATGGGACAACAGCGGAGGGGAAGGTGATCATAGTGGTAGCGAGGGTATTGGAATATTGAATGCCTCTAACAAATGAACAGCTTCGTAAATCAGGGTGTCTAAATTAAGCAGAAAAAGTAAAACCCAGCTATGGATAACTTTGTAAACAACGATGCATTAATAAAACAAACTTCTAAAAAAAATGAAAAAGTAACTGAGCTAAAATTAAATATAATGTATATTAATTATCATTAATATTTCAGTGTATTCTCAAAACAAGGGCCATTTAAAAAATAATCCCCTCACAGATATAGAATGACTGTATTAATTTGTGGTATAAGATATATATATATATCGGAGAGCCCGGCAAGCTACCGAGAGTATTCGATATGCCAAACACAGTAACAACAAAGTCTCCAATGGAGACGTTACTGGGCCCGCTCGAGCAAATCGACGATCAACGGGAGGGCCTTTACCTTTTACCTTTACATATATATATATATATATATATATATATATATATAGTGAAAGACCAATATCCATGGCCAGGGAAAACAGAGGTAAGGAGGAATGGTCAGTGGTTGGAACTAACCACACGTATGTGTGGGACTGAGAGTAGGTAAGATAGAGAAGAGACCAGTATGACAATAATAGCTGGACATGATCGTACTGGACAAGAACTGAGTTTTAGAAGAAGTAGGTAAAGGGATATTCTTGAGAACCTTTCAGTATCAGTATTACAAACCACAATGGTCAGATGTTGAGAGAGAGAGAGAGAGAGAGAGAGAGAGAGAGAGAGAGAGAGAGAGAGAAAGAGAGAGGAGAGGAGAGAGAAGAAAAGTGCCTGCCTAGAGGCAGGCAGGGGTCAAGGGTGGGCAGTGATGGGAGGGAACCTGGGGACACTGGTGCTGGGAAATGTCCACTGGTGGAGGGATGGGTGTTGGAACATTGTATGACTGAAATCAATTATAAACAGCTTTGTAATGGTTTATCTCACAATGATTCAATTAAAAAGTTAAAATAATAATCCCAACATATTATCACACCTTAATATTAATAGTCATTGTTTAGTATCTATCATTTTTCTTCCAAATTGTTACATAAATGCCACGAGATTTCATTTTGCATACGTGAAAATTAAAGTCTGACCCATATTTGATGAGTTTCATAAAATTTAGTTTAATTATTTTTGCTCTTTGAAGAGGAGGAATATTAATGAGCTAATTATGCCCAATCTTAGCTGTAGCTGATGAATTTTTATTTATTTGGTTTGGGCTGCAATTGCTTCTCGGCCTTTTGGCTAAGATCAAGTGTGGTTTGGGGCTGCATCTGGCTGTGCTCAGGGCATATCTGGCTCTGGGCTCAGTGACCACTCTTGGTGGGCTTGGGAGACCATATCTGGGTGGCAGGGATTGAACCTGGGTTGGAAGGAAATCGCCTTAAGCACTATATTATCTCTCTATCTCCACAGCTGATGAATTTTTAAAAGCACAACTCTTCACAGTTGATTTAGCAAGAGGAGTCTCTTAGCTTAGGTGAGAAAAAATAGTTTAATTTAGTTCATTTTTTTAATTTTATTTTTTTGGGCTTTTTGGGTTATACCCAGCGATCCTCAGAGGGCTACTCCTGGCCCATGCACTGAGGAATTACTCCTGGCGGTGCTTGGGGGACCATATGGGATGCTGGGAATCGAACTCGGGTTGGCCACGTGCAAGGCAAACGTCCTATCCAATGTGCTATCGCTCCAGCCCCAAATTTAGTTCATTTTAGGGCAACTTCAGAACTGACTCAGAACTTACCTCCACTCCAGCGGCAGCCAGGAGCCACCGGATACACTCCATCCGGCCTCGGCCATTGAAGTAGTGAAGCCTTGGTTTCCCTGCCATAATGGAGTCTCCTGGATTCTCTGAGGCTGAAAAAGAGGATGGATGGATTGGTGGGTGGATGAATGAAATCACAGAAATAAAAACTGCACTTGCTAGCATCAACAAAAGTTCAGCAACTTAAATATCACAAAAGTAAATACCTTCTTTATAGTCGGAAGTCGGAAGAGTAGCTGAAACGTTTTCCTTGTTCCATATGTTAATTAGAAATCAATTCTGGGAAATTCCCCCAAATCATTGTACTATCTTTGTGGGGTAAAATATCCCTGGGTCGGCTACTAAGTGAGAATTGAAGGTAAGGATGCATGTGTGAATGAAAAAGGGAAGAGGGAAGATTATGCAGCTCATGTTTATGGAAAAACATTTAATATAGATGATCTTTTGATTATGTTATAGCCATAATCCTCACGACAGTTGCTATGAGTTGAATGAGTTTCTCTGGCCATATTTTGATGGAATGAATTTGAGTCTTGAAAATAAAGTGATAGGTTCATGAAAACATCCCAGTTCAGCAGCCCTGGAAATATAGACTGTGTAGAATATAAGATGGGCAAGTCAGAACCCACCCAGATGGCAAGTCCTCCACAACTGCCAGGGGTGCTTGAAACCCAAGCCCTTCACTGGCAATGAGAAGGATCAGGAAGCAGGTTCAGTCTCGAGGGAATAGCATATGTTCAAGAGAGAACACAGGCTTGTCCAGAGTGGGAATGAGCAAACTAAGAAACATAGAAGCAACCAAGTGATGTATGTGTTCAAGGAAATACACGGGCTTAAAGAACAAGTCCGTACTAACTTCTTTCACAGACAAAGGACGCTTAATCAATTTCAGTTGGCAGGTGTGGGTTCTTAGCAATGCTTAGGGAGTCCTGGAGCCAATCCCGACATTTCTCTGTCAGCCTGGCCAACCAGCTCAATGCTTGACCAACTGAGGTGCTGCTCGGGTCATGGGAGAGAGAGGGTCAATGAGGTCTCGCCTATGGGTATGGTGTGGCCATGTGATACCAGGGATTAAACTAGGGGAATCTCATGTGTTTAAAGTATGGGTTCCAGTCCTTTAAGTCATCTCCCTTGCCTTTTCATTGGGAAAAAAACCTACATGGTTTCCCGTGTTTCAAACCATAATGCACAAAAGGAGAGAGAGAGAGAGAAGAAAAGTGGTGTTGGGGGTGGAGGGAGGGAAATGGGGGACATTGGTGGTAGGAAATGTCCATTGGTGGACGGATGGGTGTTGGATCATTGTATGACCAAAGCCCAATCATGAACAGCTTTGTAATGGTCTATGTCATGGATATTCAATAATTTTTTAAAAAAATTTACATTATTCCTACTGGGTATATTTTATGATCCAGAAAAAAAGAATATGCTGCTGTATAAAATTTATAGTTTTGGGAATATAATGAACTCTTGCTTATTGTTTGTCTCACCTAAGATATTCATTCTTACCTAATTGTAGTGTTGGGTTTCAATTATTGAACTGTTGAATGTATGGTGTGTGTGTGTGTGTGTGTGTGTGTGTGTGTGTGTGTGTGTGTGTGTGTCTGTGCACGAGATACTGTTGATTATCTAAGACTGAAAACCGTTTGTTTTCCCTGGACTGTGTGGTGAGTGTTCACAGCAGGTAACTCAATGGCTTCTGCTGTGATCTAATTTACGTGGGTGTGAATGGAACCGATCAGGACTCAGGAAAGCAGGAGTCTAAAGCTGGGGTTGAAGTAGCAGCAGTTGCATCTTTTATACAAATCCTAAACTCTTTAGGAAACTCTCTTTTTTTATGTATTACAAGAATCTTTAATGTTGACTTCCAAGTTTACTTATGGCGGGGTTGTATTTGTAAAGTATGCCAAGTACCCGCATCAAGACTATTGCTCTCCACACAGATGGACTAGCAGCCCAACAAGTTCACAAAGAATGGGTGGGGCAGGGAGGGGGTTACTTCAGTTCATTTTTTTCCTCCCTCCCTCCCTCCCTTCCTTCCTTCCTTCCTTCCTTCCTTCCTTCCTTCCTTCCTTCCTTCCTTCCTCTGTTTTTTTTTCCTTTTGGTTTTTGGGTACACTTTGGGGGCTCAGGGCTTACTCCTGGCTCTGCACTCAGGGATCACTTCTGACAGGCTCAGGAGACCATATGGGGTACCAGAGATTGAACCTGACATGGCCTTGTGCAAGGCAAATGTCCTACCAACCGTGTTATCTGGCTCGGACATAGAGCATTCTTTGATAATTTGGGACAGATTATATACTTCCTGAACTGGAGAAATAGTACAGGGATTAAGGTTCTTACTTTGTACTCAGCTGACCCTGGTACAACTATTTCTCCAGCATCACATATGATTCCCTGTGCACTTCTAGGAGTGGTCCCTAAGCACAGAACCGGGAGTAAGCCCTGGACACTTCCAGGAGTGGCCTAATACCCCACTGTGAGTGTATGTGGGGGGGATGATGGGCAACAAAACCCCCAATCTAAACTAGAAACCCACCTAAACTTCTTTTCTGGAAAAGTGGGTGTAACTCTGGGGGTAGAGCAATAGGACAGGAACTTGTCTTGCATGTGTCAGAACAGAGTTCAATCTCTGGCACCCCCTATGGTCCCCTGAGCACAACCAGGTATGACCCCAAACCAGAAAAAACAAACAAACAAATCAAAGTGTGTGTACCTTAAATTTTAGGCAACAACTGTTTCCGGTATCAACTATTGCAATGTAGGACTCCACAGTCTAACCTTTAAAAAGTTGAGAATGTTTTGAAATCATATCTAGTCGACTCACCTTTCTAGTCATTGAGAGTTTGTCTAATGTATTTTCTTGTTCTTTAATTCTTTCATGAGTATTACATGTATATGCATGTAGAGAGAGAAAGTGACATGCACAAAAATATAGAGAGAGGAAGAAGCAACATGGACTTATATCACTGTATTTGTTTTTTTTTGGGGGGGGAATGCTTTCTCACACCTTTTCAAAAGTAAGTTGCCATATCACCCCTACCTCCAAAGTATACAAAATAAATTCAATAATGTATTTTCTGAACATGGAAAACAGAGGTGCTATGACTCAGCAGAATGAAAAGGAGACTTAAAGCTAACCTGTGAAGTGTGTTTTTTGTTGATTCATGGAGCAAGTACTCACCCTAGGCTCCTCTTCCTATTGACTGAGGGTTAACTTATAACAGAAATTAATTTACCTTGCTCTTACGCAACACTTTATCAAAACCTGATAAACAGCTTTCTTCATCTCCACATGGAATGCTCCCCAAGGCCCAACCAAGACTGGGGGAAAGGTAACCGTAAAACTTTGCCTAGTCAACAGAAAATTGGACTTGAGAAATGGGATGGTCTTGGGTCACACAGAGCATTTCCAACTCTCAGTTTCTAGCATGTGGGTCGACCCTATACAACAATCGCCCCCCCCCAAAAAAAAAAGCCTCTTATATCTTATTTTAAACACAAAGGAATGAAGTTTGAATAATTAAGTAGCATCTGTAAGCTCAGGGGTTTGGCGAGTGCTGAGTTCATTTGAACTTCTGATTTCTGGTTTGGAGTATTTTACTCCACTAGGTAATACTTATGCACTCTTTCTGAGATTGGTGTTTATTCTCACTCCTTTGGAAAAGGAAATAGAGAAAGCTCTAATTCACAGAGTTCTTCTCTATGAGCTGGTTTTCAGTAATTTGACCAAATGAAAAATCAACATCCTGAAAAAATCTTTGTGTTGGGCTCAGAGAGAACGTACAGCTAGCAGGACACTTGCTTTGCATGAGGCCTACCTGAGTTCAATCTCTGGTACCTCATATGGTCCCCTGAGTTTTTGAGAAATGATCCTTGAGCACCGAGCCAGGAGTAAGCCCTGAGCACTGCTGGGTGTGTTCCCAAAAGCAAACAAGCAAAAAATCTTTGCATAGGGGCTGGAGTGATAGCACAGCTGGTAGGACGTTTGCCTTGCACGCGGCTGACCCGGGTTCGATTCCCAGCATCCCATATGGTCCCTTGAGCACCTCCAGGAGTCATTCCTGAGTGCAGAGCCAGGAGGAACCCCTGTACATCGCCGGGTGTGACCCAAAAAGAAAAAAAAATCGTTGCATAGACTGAAGACTCAGTGTTTCTGAATTTCTCTGAATAAGGAAGGAAAATCATACGGCTTGATAAAAAAATAATTCCTCGGAGAGCCCGGCAAGCTACCGAGAGTATTCGATATGCCAGACACAGTAACAACAAAGTCTCCAATGGAGACGTTACTGGGCCCGCTCGAGCAAAAATCGACGATCAACGGGAGGGCCTTTGATAATATAATGAGTAAATAAAAAGTTATGACTCTGGCCCTAACTTTAAAGTAATACTAGGGAGAGAAAACAGAAACTTGGAGACAAATTTCAACTTCTTCCCTTGGGAGAGTCATAAACTTGGGTGATGATTTCTGCACCTCGATTTTCTTTTCTAAGCACAGAGTGCTGTATCTGCTTTTGAGGACTGTTGAGAAAGTTAGATGCGATCATGTATATATGAGTGTCACACAAGGGAATCAGCTAGTTTCTGCTTCTTCCTGTTCTTAGATTCTAAAGCATGACTGAGACTCTGATATTACACAACACATGAGTCTTTGTTTTCTATTTATCCCTTTCTCTCTATAAGCATACAATCCTTCTTTTATCTGCTTCCTATCTCTAGCAAGTAGTTATTAAGACATTGCACTCTGGTAGGAATTCTCTTATCTATCCATTCTTAAAACACACGCGTGCGCGCATGCGCGCGCGCGCACACACACACACACACACACACACACACACACACACACACACATTAGCTACTCTGTATTGCAATAAGTTTTGGGCAAAGGTCTAGGAATCTGGCTCTTCATTTGCACACAGCCCTGCGCAGACCAAAAACCTCAGTCACCCTTGGACCCTGGCTTCTGGATGGGGCATTTCAAATGCTTTCCTCTGTTCTCATGTCTCACCCCAGCTGCCACTCATGCCCTGATGAAGCCCCTCCAGATCCACTGTTCCCACATGGGTCCTTGTGCATTGGTCCATCCGGGGAGTGGAGACCCAATGCAGATTTGCACAGCTGACACGATCGTCCATTGGTTCCAGCCCCAGAATCATGCATGACCCGAGAGGCAAGCAAGTCAGAACCAGGTGAGAAGGCTGCCAGGCTCTAAGAAGCTGTGGGATGCGGTCCCCTGGGACACATCCTGTAGGTGACTTGATCCTCTCTGAGCTCAGACCTGCTCCCTCAGAGCATCCACGTGCCTCCAGATTCGGAGCACCCATCCTGGCCCTCCTATTTCTCTCTGTCGCATCTACTAAATGCTTCCCTTTATCATCCTTTCCTTTCTTCCCTCAGAGGTCCTCCCCCTGTGAGTCGCGATGCCCAGGAGAGCTCTGAGCCTCTTAGACTCACCCAGAGAGAATCTTCCTTTATGTTCTCCCATACACACCCTTACAACTACGCATTCTCGATCTCAGAGTCTGATTGGAATGATGCCCTCATTCTGTTTGAAGCGCTTCTTGCTTTTGAGAAGGATAAACTCTTCTGCTAATACAATGCACCGGTGATTTAGTTTTACAGAAGACTAACTGAGCTGAGAGTTTGGGAAGTCATGTAATCCGGAGATACGTATCTGAGGGTGATTTGGCTCTTTCTGCCCCGGTGGTCTAGAGGCATGTTTGGTTGTCAAACCTAGGAGGAAGTTGCAACTCTATCAGCTGGTGCCCCAGATGCCTGAGGCTGGGCTTCCACCTGTGCCTGAAAGTTTTCTAACTACTCCTTACACGATCCATTCTTTTGAACAACTATGTTATCCCAACAGACGACAGACGTATTATGAGATAGCTAGTTGGTACACAATGTTCTTTGTACAAACACAGAGAAAAAGTGATAGTATTCATTTTTAATTTTGTAAGTGTTGACGTCATGATTTCTTATAAAAGCAGTAAATAGTTGCTGTAGAGACATTACAGGTATGAAGTTTGCAAATTTAAAGTAAGGTAGGCTAACTTTAACTGGCAAGTACATTCCTTGACACTCATTAAATATACACTTATATATAAATTTTTAAACTGTGAGAGAGAGAAAAAAGGGAAAAATTCTAGACCAGGTCTTCACCAAAAATAATATCACTCAGTCTGAAAGTGCTTCCCTGCCAAGGCTGAGAAACCCTTTTGCATTCAGTGTCTAAGTTTGCCAGCAACTGGTTGAACAAGAAAGGACAGGACTTAGCAGTTAAGTAACCGTCCAAAGACTGAATTAGAATCTAGTTCTTCTAACAGCTAGACCTATTATTTCTACTGTAATAAATATGAATTTTTCATTTTCATATCATGTACATTACAACATAACAATGAGCGAACGCATGTTGACTACCTCTGTAGACAAAACTAGTTCATCGTAAACACATACTCTCTCGAATAGGTCATATCCTCAGATTGTTTAAGATGACATCATCTTTTTGCTCTTCGGATTCATTTTTCTTGTGCTAAAATTTCATGCCTTCTTTTTCCAATTTCTTTTACATTTCTGCAAAGAAGCTTGCAACTGCATAAATTACTTCTAAAAGGTCACCTAAGTACATACAGAAGGACAGTGTGAGACCTTTTCATTTGCACTAAAGACACATTTCAAAGTAACCTTCCTAGGACAGAGTTTGTCAATTTATAAAGTATAAACACTGGATACTTACCAAAAAAAGATCTTTCTTCTTCTTCTTCGGTCAATCACTCAACACAACTCCTTGTCTTTTTATATGCTGTTTTATCATTGGGCAACTCCTCTCTGAAAGGGGCAGTGTCTATTCAGAGAAAGCCACACCCACAGGGTTATGTCACCAAGAGGTTCATGTCAGAAGCAAAAACAAGTTGCCCTCTTATCGCTAAACTCCTGGGTACAGGTAATATATTCCTTATCCAAGGCTGCTATTAAAAGATTACAGGGAACAAATGGACTATGTGGTTCAGTCAGGGATGACTTTTACCTCGTTTCTAATTTAATTAATTTTGTTATTGATTGATTTTTTTTATTTGGGGACATCACATATGGCTGTGCTCAGGGCTTATTCCTGGCTCTGTGCTCAGTGATGACTCATGGTTGGGTGAACCACATGCAGGGAAACACCTTCCCTACTCTTCCATACTTCCAGCTCCAGGGGTGGCTTTTGGAAGAAAATTCATTTGAGGCTTCTTCTTCTTCTTTTTTTTAAGGCATCGTGATTTACAATGAGGTTAATAAATGCACCTTCCCCCAACCCCCAGCCCTATCCAACCACAGGAACTCAGTTCTGTAGATGGTTCTCAAGGTCTGTTGCCTTTGGCCACTTGGGTGTTTTGTTCATTTCTTGCTTTGTTTTTGGACCACATCCAGCTGTGCTCAGGGCTTAGTCCTGGCTGTGCACACAGAGATCTGCCCTGGTGGGGCTCAAGGGACCACTTGGAGTGCCGGGGATGGAACCTGGCTCAGCTGCCTCCCTGGGCAGCGTGGCCTCAGCCCTGGACCCCTGAGACCCCAGCCCTGGAGGCTCTGCCCTTAGCAGAAGCCCAACCCGCCCCCACCCCCGACTATGCCCGGGACTGGGGAGTCTGCTCTGGCATGGCTCCAAGCTCACGGCCTGGACATTGCAGGTCTGGGTGCCCACAACAGTCTTTGGCAGCCAGATACTGTGGGAAAGGACTTTCCTCTCTGCCACCTCTCCTTCTCCATGCATTCTCTTCTCTCTGCTGTCTCTCCTAACCCCTTCCTTACAGCCTCTCCAGTCCTGAGAGGACCATTCAAAGTCTCCATTTCTCCTGAGCCCTCTCTCTCTCTCTCTCTCTCCCTAAGTAATTATTTCACTATCTCCCTTCCAGCTTTAACTGAGTCCTCAGTTACACCAAGTAATGATCTGCTGGTTAATATGTTGGTGGAGGGACCTGAGAGATAATACATTTGCCTTGCACATGGCCGACCTGAGTTCAATCCCCAGCAACCTATGTGGTCCCCTGAGCACTGCCACGAGTCATTCCTGAGTACAGAGTCAGGAGTAATTTCTGAGCGTCACTGGGTGTGTCCAAAAACAAAAAGTAAGATAAAATAAAATGGTGGGGAGTGTGGGTGGGGGGAAGAAGTGGTGTTAGAGATCTAAAATGAAAAACATGTTTGGTTGAGAAGATGATGATGCGGGGAGACACGTGATATGTTGAAACTAATAAATCAGGAAAAGGCTTATTTAGCTATTTTCACAGTCAACACACATAGTTCTTATTGCCTATTTCTTTCAACCTTTCTGAATGTGTGAAATTTCTACATAAAATGTTTATTCAGATATCCAGCAATTTGGAAACCATGAATCATATAAAGAAAGCACAAGGCACCAACGATGAAAGATATGAATCATGTGCCTTTGCAGACTGTGGGTGCAGAGAGTGTAAATCATAACATGGCAAAGGAAGTAACTACAAAGGACGCCTACATTGTCAGGATTGTCTATTCACATTCTTGGGCAGCTTTTTATTATTATTATTATTATTATCGAATCACCGTGAGATGCAGTTACAAAGCTTTCATGTTTGAGCTTCAGCCATACAATGATTGAACACCCATCCCTCCACCAGTGCCCATTTTCCATCACCAATGTCCCCAGTATCCCTCTCCCCCACCATCCCAACCCTCCCCCCGCCTCTATGGCAAACAATTTCCCTCATACTCTCTCTCCACTTTTGGACATTATAATAGTTTGCGATACAGATACTGAGAGACTTTCACATTTGGTCCTTTATCTACTTTCAGTACACATCTCCCCTCCTGAATGATCCCTCGACCATCATTTTCTTAGTGATCCCTTCTCGATTCCAGCTGCCTTCTCCCCCAGCTCATGAGGCAGGCTACCCACCATGGAGCAATATTCCTGGCCCTGTCTCTACTGTCCTTGGGTGTCAGCATCATATTATGTTATTTTATATTCCACCATTGAGTGCAGTCATTCTGTCTGTTCCTCTCTTTCTGGCCTATTTCACTTAGCATGATACTCTCCATGACCGTACATTTATTAGCAAATTTCATAACTTCATCTCTGTTAACAGCTGCATAGTATTCCATTGTGTAGATGTACCAAATTTTTGTTAGCCAGTCGTCTGTTCTTGGGCACTCGGATTGTTTCCAGATTCTGGCTATTGTGAGCTGTGCTGCAATGAACATACAGGTGCAGATGTCATTTCTACTGTGCTTTTTTGCACCCTCGGGACATATTCCCAGAAGTGGTATTGCAGGATCATATGAAAGCTCAATTTCTAGTTTTTGAAGAAATACCCATATTGTTTTCCAAAAAGGCTGGACCAGTCGGCATTCCCACCAACAATGAAAGAGAGTCCTTTTCTCCCCAGATCTGCGGTCTGGCAGCTTTTTGTGTTCAGAATACCACTGTGCTCTGTGGCATGACCAAAGCTTGTCATATGTGGATGTGCCCAAGCTCTTAGGGCCACAAAGGGTCAGGAAGTTATATGTCCTCATCATATTCAGTAGGAGCTGACATCAAGTCATTATTATTTTCTGAAAAAAAAAATTAAAGACTGATAAAATGCTTTGTATGGATGATGGTGTTTATTCACCATGAATATTACATAAAACTCCTCACGGCTTGCAAGCATGTTTTGATATGGGTTTTTTATTTAGCTTTTTGTTCATTTTGGTCTTGAAAACTTGTACTATCTTTATTTATTTATTTATTTGCTTTTTGGGTCACACCCGGCGATGCACAAGGGTTCCTTCTGGCTCTGCACTGAGGAGTTACTCCTGGCGGTGCTCAGGGGACCATATGGAATGCTGGGAATCAAACCCGGGTCAGCCGCGTGCAAGGCAAATGCCCCACCCGCTGTGCTATCTCTCCAGCCCCCCAAAACTTGTACTACCTTTAAAAAAATTAAAGTGTGCCTTACATACCTAGTCATGACACAGTCCTTCCATAGTTTTGATGACTTTCCATAAATTCTGACAGACCCAATTCTGTAGACACTCTTCTTCCTTAACTCTTTGTAAGTTTTCCCCCTCCATCTCATAGCCTTATACCCTTTTAAGACACACATCATCCCTCCAAACACTGGCTCTGATCAGTTGATGGGCGACTGGCCTAGTCCCTTCCATGGTTGCAAGAAATATTTCTTGATTCTAGCAATCTCTTTTTATCTTATCATCTTATTATCTCATTCCTGCTTTGGACAACCTGGCAGGCTACCGAATGTAACCTGCCCACACGGCAGAGTCTGGCAAACTCCCCGTGGCGTACCCAATATGCCAACTACCAGTAACAATGATGGGTCTCATTCTCCTAACTCTGAAAGAGCCTTGAATATGGCACTTTTTAAAATCTCAGGGCTAGAGTGAAGGAGACGTTACTGGGGCCTGCTTGAGGCAATCGACGAACAACAGGATGGCCGTGATCGTGATCGTGATCTAGCAATCTCATGGCTCGCTGAAGAGAATACTGCAGGCTGTCTCCTGCAGGGTGTCTGTGTGATGTGTCCCCTTCTCTACACTCTGGAATGATCTAGTGACTCGGCCATCCACCGCCCCACTGCTAACTATGCCCAGGAATCTCTAAGGAATTCTCAATTGCCTCCAAGTAAATGGAACTTGGCTAAAACCTTAACTTCAAGTACAACAAGTACAATTCTTCCTCAGGGGTGATTGGTATAAAATGTCCTGGGACTCAGAGACCACAGTGGGGAAGATTCAGGGAGTTTTACTGGAAGTGAAGGTCAATGCCCTCATACAATCCAGGCGTCAGAGTTTTACCCTTCTCCCATCTCAGTCTCCTCACCTCAGAACCCAGCCACTCACCTTTCCACAGGCAGGGGAGGAGCATATGGTCATTCTCTTCTTGACGAAAGTAATCTTGGCGTCCTACTGATCAGGTGGACAGACTGGATAATTCATGATCATATCAGTAAAACTATCATAGCTTTTGATAGTCTGTACTGACAGACAAGGCAGTCCATACCATCATATATTTCATCTCCAATTTTATATTTTGCAAACATGAGTTAAAGTCAAAAATGTCAAGTAACTCACCTTCATGGGGTGCAATTTTAGGTGCCATATTTTCACTTATGAGTTTTATTTAATACTTCATTTTAAAATGAGTATTGCTGGGTCTGGAGCGATAGCACAGCAGGTAGGGCATTTGCTTTAAACACAACTGACCTGAGTTCAATTCTTAGCATCCCATATGGTCCTCTGAGCATTCCCTGCAGTAATTTCTGAGTGCCGAGCTAAGAGTAACCCCTATGCATCACTGGATGTGACCCAAAAAGCAAAAAAAAAAATAGTATTGCTATAGACGAATGCTACAATTTTTGTTACAGGACCACAGTGCTAGTACAGTGGGTGGGATGCTTTCTTGCATGAGGCCAACTCTATAATTAAATCCCCAGCATTGTAGAGTGCCCAAAACCCTGCCAAGAGTGATGCCTGAGGACAGAACCAGAAGTAAGTCCTGAACACCATTAGGTGAAACCACCCTCCAAAGTAAACACCCCCCCCAAAATAAACTATTTTGAAACTTAGTAAAAGGTTCTATCTTAAAGAACCCCTGGGGGCTGGAGCGATAGCACAGGGGGTAGGGCGTTGGCCTTGCACGTGGCCGACCCAGGTTCGATTCCCAGCATCCCATGTGGTCCTCTGAGCACCACTGGGGTAATTCCTGAGTAAAGAGCCAGGAGTGACCCCTGTGCATTGCCGGGTGGGACCCAAAAAGCAAAAAAAAAGAACCCCTAAAATGATATAATGACTTTTTTGGGGGGGAATCATCTTCCAAGAAATGTTCAGA